ATGGACCCTTTCCGGGAAACTCACCAAAGCCTGGTTTAGGGTTTCGGGTTTGGGGCTTAGGCCTTACAAGCTCCAACTCTGTCAGAGCTGGGGGGACTCCAAGGGCGCATCCATATGGGCAGTTTCTCTAAGTTAGGATCCCCTCTTTAGGGTTGCTTAAAGGGATCTATAAGGGTTTTTTCACAAGGGTGCTATAAGGGTAGTTCTCCAAAACAGGGTCCCGCTGTAGCTCCCCAAGATAGTGCGGCACCCTGATGACAAGGACCCCAAAAGGGCCCCGAATCTAGAGAACTACCCATATGGGAGTTTTCGAAAATAGGGGACCCTAATATGGTACCTTAAATACTAGCATCCTTACTGCAAGGACCCCAAACTACGGTACCCCTAATTTTCGGAAACTCCCATATAATTCGTACAGAGGTCATTCGAGTCCAGGATAGTCCAGGGACGTTTTGGATTTGGGGTCACTTGAATTTCAGATTTTTGCGCAGTGGTGTTTTGTACAGTATACATGCCATACATGGATTCGAGGTTCCAGTGATTCGGATTTGATGGTTTTCAGGGTCTTGGGGCTTCAGGGTTTCTGGGCATAGGATCAACGAAGTTCGACACCACGATCGTGCGGCGAGAGAATCTGTTTGTCTGCCCCCCCCAAGTTTCAGGGATTAGGGTTTAGCCATGTTTAGCTCCAATTTCCAGAAACCTTCAGATCAGTCTTACTCTCCCTTGAGGCCCTTCTGTTCTCCGACAGCGTGCGGCTGGCGGACGAAAGGGCAAAGGTGGGGCCTACCTCCGGTTCTGGGGGTCGTAGGATTTCTGTCATCTGAAGGGTTTTGGCGGATGGGTTTAGAGATACAGTAGTCTATAATCTATAGTCAAAGTAATATTCTTATTCTTGCTGAGTTCTTCGCAAGTGATTAGGCGGTTTCGGAGTCTCTGTGTCAAGTGGTTTGGAGAACATGAACCTTCTGGGGGGGCGGGGGACCACTTGACTCCGGTGTCATGATTCCTGCCTTCGCAAGTCTAGATGCCGGAAGCACTGGACCCTGTCTGAGACATGTTCAATTCAAGCAAGATAAAGGTTGGTGTTGGTTGCTGCTGGGTAAAGACTGCCGATGACGGCATTTCCTTAGCTATGGGGGGGTTCCGGAAGATGGGGGACCCCAATACAGTACCCTTAATGGTAGATCCTTATTTTAAGGACCCCCAAATCTGATACACCTAATTTTCGGAAACTCCAATATGTTCCTCAATACGAGTACACAATGCAGAATTTCTTCATGAGCTGTAGAGCTGTCGCGGACCTGGAACTGCGAGCCTGACAAACCTGAAATGGGAAGCAGCTATGACGGCCGGCTACTCCACTTTCTACTGCTACTGCTACTGCTCCTCCTGCTCCTACTCCTGCTCCTGCTCCTGCTGCTGCTGCTGCTGCTGCTGCTGCTGCTGCTGCTGCTGCTGCTGCTGCTACCGATACTGCTGCTGCTACTCTGTTACCGCTACTACTCCTGCTGCCACTGCTACGGCTATCGCTGCCACCACTGCTGTACCAAGTCAGAACAATACTGATGGTAGAAGTAATGACAAGGAAAATATCAGCAACAGACAGAAGAACAGCAACAACTGACAAGAATCAGCCAAACCATTGTATACACTCGTCCCCCCAAAACACTGAACCCTAAGCCATAATCACAGTATAACTACCCGAATGCTCCATGTGCCCATTTATAGTAGGTACTTAGGCCTTAAAGTACCTACATAGGCACTTTAAGGTCTAAGTACCTACTATATGGGTATATGGAGCCTTTGGGCTATAAGACCCCCCTAAGAAGAGAGCCCTGCCAGGCCCTGGCAGCCGCCGGAAGAGACTTCAAGATCGAGGTCGGCATTCATACACTATAGTCTCCTGAGGAATTATTTGTTTTTGTTCACATATAGCCCAAGAGAATATTAAACGTATTTTTTATGATGGTTCTAAGGGGGTATAGGAAAACGGATGAAGGGTTTGCAGGGGTGTAGTGTTTACAAGGGTTGAGGGTTTAGGGTTCTTAAGGGTTTTTTCCAGGATTTATCAGGGTCTGTAAGGGTTTATCAGGGTTTGTCAGGGTTTAGCGCCTATAGGGGTTTAGGATGACGAGCTCACAAGATGCGCCAGATAGGTCCCAGAACGGTAGGGTCCAGGAACCGAAGTTTGCAAGCTTAAGAGCTAAGCTCCAGGGCTTTCGTGTTCTCAGGGCTTACGTGTTCTCAGGGTTAAGTGTTTCGGGCTTAGCGGTTGGGGGTTTAAGGTTTAGGGGTTTTTAGGGGTTCCGGCTTAGGGCTCAGGCTTAGGGATTCATACGGCGGCGTGTTTCTTTTGGGTGTTTTCGAGGGGCTTTTCAGGCTGTTAGTGTTGATTGTCAGTCGTTGTTAGTTAGTTGCTGTTGCTTTCAACGGCGTCTTTGCAGGGCGGGCTTTTTCGAGAGGGATTAGGGGTTTAAGTCTTACGCACCAGGTCTTGTACCCAAAACGTGCTGCTTCTCTCAAAGGGGAAAGGAGTGACCCTTATAATGGGGATCCCAACCCAATAATGGGCTATAGAATGGGTATATAATACTTGTAGCTATATTAAGGGTATATACCTAGGGTCCTTATTAAGGGTATATACCTAGGGGTCCTTTTTAAGGGTATATAACTAGGGGTCCTTGTTAAGGGTCCCTCCTTTTACCCTTGGATTCTCGGAGTGGGGAATGAAGAGCTGGTCTTCTCCTCATTCTCGAAACCAGAGCCCCTCTATCCTAAACCCCTATGATCGACCCCCTTAAAGGAACCATTAAAGAGCCCTTTAAAAGAACCCCTCTAAACCCTGAATCCTAAACCCCTATTATGATAGATCCCCTAAAGGAATCCTTAAAGATAAGATCCCTTTAAAGGAACACCTGTAGACCCCTTTAAAAGAACCCTTGTAGACCCCTATAAAGGAGCCCTTAAAGATCGCTTTAAAGGAGCCCTTATAGACCCCTTTAAAGGAACTTTTATAGGCAGTGCAGTGGACTCCAGTGATCCACAAGTCCGTTTAAATGATTACTATAGTTTAATTTTTCGGAAACTCCCATGTAGAGCCAGACAGACCTAATACTATCTCCTTTTGTCCCTACATAGCTCTATACCCGAAAAGCTGGCCCGAAGTCCTGCAAGAAAACTCCCAAAAAGCCCAGACCCCCCCTCCGAAATCTTCAACCTCAGAAGCGAAATCCGAGACCCAAATGTCAATCCCCCGCACCTCCCCTCTCCCCAAACTCTGAACATCCTAAGGGTCCTATAACACTTTCGGGGAACCTCAAAACGTAGGGGTTCTGAGACCCCAAAGAGACCCAAGGGCTCTCTCTAGGAGATTCCGCACCCTCCTAAAGAGATACCTGGACCCTTAGGGCAGTAAGTTCGCGATCGGAACCTTGAACCGTTAAACCCGCAAAACTTAACTCGACGCCGCAAGCGAAGCATGTGAGGTCGCCCGCAGCTTGGCCGCTTGAGCATCCTGCGGATCATTGTCAAGGGACCACAAACTCCCAAACTGGGATCCTAAAGGATCCCAACCCTCCTGAAAACTCCCAAACTACCCTATAGTCTCCATTGTAGTTCCTTTTTTTGGTAAACCAAAATCTCTATTATAGGGTCCTCGCCATAAAATTGGAGAACCAAAAAAAGGAACTACAATGGAGACTATAGGTAGTGGCCAGGGCCATAATAAGGAATATATGGGAATTATGGTATATTCCTCATTATGGGTCATGCAGGATTTATATCATCAACAGTAGGATCCTGAAGGACCCCAGCCCCCTTGAAAGGGCTCTTTTGCGTCCTTAAGCTCCTTAAGCGGAACCCTAAACCCTAAACTTTATGGTTTAGGGTTTAGGGTTTAGGGTTTAGGGTTTTAAACGGTCAGGTTTGGTGGGCTGCAGCGGACCGTGAACCCCCAAGCCCCAGATAGATCATAGATCCGCAACCAAGAACTCTATCTACATTGGTCTTAAGTCCCCAAACCCTAAAGCGCAACCTTTGCTGGAGTTCCCCCCTAAACCCTCAACCCTACACCGCAACATTTGCGGGAGTTTCCGGGCAGCCTTCTGTCGCATCTCGGACGAGTGGAGCTTCAGCGACAGGGCGAAAACGGGGGCCTGCGCTGCCGCTATGGGTTCTAGGCTAACCTAAAGGGTGCTGGGTACTGTTACGGGGGATACTTCCCCAAGTCTTATAATAGTAAATTCCGAAAATAGAAGCCTTACGTTCTACCAAATATTTAGGTGTTTAGGGATTTTGGGCTTCGGGGTTAGGGTTTTATTGTTTCAGCGTATATGGCTATCGGGTTGGAAAGTTAGGATGTCAGCGTTCAGGGTTTTCGGAGTTGAAGGGAGTTTTGTTATATCGGGTTTAGAACTGAAGCTTGCGATAATAACAAGGGTTTCGAAACGGGCGTCTCCGGTTGACAGGTTTCTCGGTGTGAATCTAGGGCGGCTTGAGTACAAATCCCCCATACTCCAAACTTAAAAATGCGACACCCAAGTTTACCAGAGATCCCACCAGCCCACAATCCAAAACCCGAAGATCTGTCTTATCTGAGACCAATTGAGCCTCGCACCCAACGGTAGACCCCATGCCCTAATAAATGGTCTCGCACAACCCACACAAAGGACCGAGCTCAAGATCAAACCCCTCTACCCCTTACAACCCAAACCCTGCTAAGCCAGCCACTAAATTAAGCTTAAAGTGTTCGATCAGCACAGCAGCATGCCAATTGTCGAGGCAGTCGATTGTCACCAGAGCGAATCATGGTTACATCATTGCCTGCACGAAATCAGAATCCTTGAGCCCTGAACCTCAATCTTTTCTTGCCGCTCCAGCCAAATATTTGCAAGATGCCCTAGATACGCTAAACCTGCTAAACCTTAACCAGAAGGAAACGAGAACTAAACCCTTATAAACCTTAAAGTCTAGACTCTGTTTCTCTATTCTTGGGGCAGGTCCGGAAGCTCTTGGACCAAGCGCTCAGCTTCGATGAGACCTAAATCCCAAGGAAAAATGATGCCTGCGGTGGCTCTCTTGTGGTTATAGGACGTAGGGTTTCGGAGTTTAGAGTTTCCGGGTTCAGGTTGTAGAGCTTCATTGCTGAAGGGTTTGGGCCGTGGGACTTTAGAGATCAGGGGTTCGGCACTTGGTTTAATCCAAGGTAAAACGAGGGACCCTTAATAAGGACCCCTAGGTATATACCCTTAATGTAGCTATTATATAGCCATTATGTAGCCCATTTTGGGGGTAGGGGTCCCCAGTAAGGGTCCCTCCTTTTCCCCTGTGATTAAATGCTTAGACTGTCAGGTTCCAGGAGGCCCCGGGTCAAGGTTTGAGAGGATACGGTTGATGATATAAATCATGCATTACCTTAAGGGCCCTAAACTATGGGAATTATGGTATATTCCTTATCATGGGTACTGCAGGATTTATATCATCAACCGTAGGGGGGTTAGGATTTGATCGGGTTTAGTGTGTCTGGTTTTACCATGCACTCATAAATCTAAGGATTTCCACATTCCGGAGCCGCGCCTGCATTCCCAAAGCAAAAATATCAAAAGATCCAACTTCTAACCCCTTGACGACCTTCTAAGGCCTTGTAAGATCCTGAAGCAACCTCAGAAACAAATCTGGTAAGAATCCGGTTAATGTTGGGGCCTTAACTAAGTGTTGCCTATACTACTTTGGGGGTTAGAGTAGAATCTGCCCCAAAACCCTTGTATATGACAGTCTGTTTCTGGCCCTGTGGTGTCTCTTCGCCAGAGCCAGGTCTACAGTTGCTCAGTGGGCTGCCGCGACGCCGCGCTGGCGTGCGCAGCCTCCGAGAAGGCGTCGCCTTTGAGTTGTTTATCCTTTTTTGCGTTTGTGCATTTGTATGTGTGTGTGTGTGTGTTTGTATTGGTTGTTGCCATGTTGCTTCCTTGGGCGGTGCATCTTTATAAGCGCTGGTTTCTTACGCAGTCAGCAAGCGCTCAGCCCGCACAGCAAAGCAGTGCAAGGCGTCCAAGTGCTTGTTGCTTACATCAGTTCTTGCGAACTTGGTCTTCTCCAAGCAGAACCTGAAACTAAGCCCCATAAGGCCCTCAGGGTCCATGTACCCAAATCGTATAAACCTAAACCCTAAACCCCAAACCTGAAAGTAAAGGCCAGAAAGTTGGAATATGATTATCCTAAACCCTTTATGGTAAGTTATAGGTTATCCTACCCTGAAACCATATTCCAACTTTCTGGAGTTCCCTTTAAACCCTAAACCCTAGACCCTAAACCCTAAACCCCTAAACCCTAAACCCTAAACCCTAAACCCCTAAAATCGTATATACGTGGGCCGCAGGCCTGAAACTCCTAGACCCGCAGCTCGTGGACCTCTCGAAACGGCCCCAAGCCCCGAAAGAAAAGTTCCGGAAGGGCCTCGCATACCCAGTGGCCGGGTGGTACCCAGAGACGCCAGTATCCCTTGATTAACGAAGATCATATTAGGGATCCTACTATAATTTGAGATATATATTCTGAGTAAAGCTTATTAGGGATCCTACTATAGTTTGAGATATATTCTGAGTTAAGGGATATTCGAGTCTCTGGGTATCGGATTGTAGAGGTTTGCGTTTGGGGTTTTCGCCCCAGCTCGAGACGGTCCCAGGTGTACCTTTTCGATGTGGGCCAGGGCAAGCAAAAGCAGGTCTTCAAGGAGCCATGGAGTTTTGGAGTTTACCCTAAGGGTCCTAACACTTCGGGGGAACCTCAAAAAATGTAGGGGTTCTGAGACCCCAAGGAGACCCCAAGGGCTCTCTCTAGGAGACTCCGGACCCTCCTAAAGAGATGCCTGGACCCTTAGGCCAGGGTTTGGGGTGTTAGGGGCTGTCATGGAGTCTTGGGGTTGAGATTCTACGGGGTTTAGAATTTAGAGGGTAGTACTAAGTGGGGTGATGAGTCCCCTAATATGGGTTATAAGTATAGTCACCCTACTTATAACCCTGTTCAGAATTTAGGGGCTGAGGGTTCAGAGTGCTCGGCTGAGTTTTTCTGGCTTTGGGGATTCAGGGTTTGGGGCTGTTACGGAATTTTGGCCTTGAGATGTCAAGGCTTTTCTTTCAGGAGTTGCTCAAGGAGCACACCCAGACCTTGCAATATCCCTTGTTTGAGGAGTTTTCCCTAACTCATGTTAAGTTTTGAGGTTCCCTATTATGCTTTCCCTACAAAAGCCCCAAAAAAGTAGGTTCTCCATCGTCTAGGCAGTGTTTATAACCCTAGTGCTCATATAGTATATGCATTGGCTTCATTTGCCCAGACTGTCCCAAATCCTTTAATTTAATTAGGGATTATGATATACCTTCAAACATACTAGGGATCCTTCTATAACTTAAGGTATATTCCTTAGCTAAGGAGATACTGGAAGGTCTAGGCATTTGGCTTTAAACAGGACAGCCACACAGATGTCGTGAACCACGTACGCTTCCACCCGGCAGAGAGCCAGAAACTTTTGACGGGTGCGGAGGCACGCAGCGTGTCCAAAGTTTGAACTGGAAGTTCTTTTACTGGCTATGAACCCTAAACCCTAAACCCTAAACCGTACACTTCACAACACTTCCATGTAAAGTGTTCTCAGAACGAAGACTCTTCAAGCTTCGCCTAGAGCAGGGTTTTGTTGAGGCATTGGTCCAGGTTTCTATTGAATTTTGTACGAAGGAAGCGGTGATATGCTAGGAACCACTTGCAGCTTCTGTTGCCTATGTTTTGCTTTTCCGCAGGGTCCCTCAGCCTATATCGTACATACTGTGGTCCTGAAGTTACTAGATGGGACCACTTCCAGGCCTAAGTATATAGCTGTTGTAGTCCAGGGCCTTACTGCCGGATACCTTGAGGTGCTTTTAGCGTGCAATTGACGTGGCAGTGCGACAGAGAAGCTCAGTAGCTGGGCTTTGGAGTACCATACTGTAAGACTTTGTATTTAAAGGAACCGTTATGATATAAAAGTTTATACTTTTGTCTCCCAGGTAGGTGTTGCTTGAGAGTGTTCCTCGGGATGGGCCTCGGATTGGGACATTCGGATTTCAAGCTTTCGGCTTCAATGGCGCAGCGCTCTGAGTCCTGCGCTTGGTTTACTATAGGGGCCTTAATAATTGGAATAGGGTTTTGGGGCCCAGTGTGTTATAGTTATAAAAAAGGAGCCCCCGAAATAGTATTGGTAGAACCCGTATAGTATCACTTTTCAGGAGCCCTTTAATTACAGGAATCCTATTCTACTTGTTCAAACAGGCCCCTTTAGTAGGGGTAGCGTTTGGGGGGGGGGGGGGGGGGGGGGGGGGGGGTGGGAGCGCTCAGGCTGAGAGTCTAGGAACTACAGGGGTTTAGGCTCAGAGCTTAGGGTTTAGGGTTTTGGGTTTAGGGGTTTAGGGGCTTAGGGGTTTAGGGTTAAGGGCTCAGAGCTTAGGGTTTAGGGCTAGAGTCTCTGTCCACCGTCGCCGAAAGTTACATCGTTTTGATTTTTGGACTAGTAAGAACAAGAAGTAGAGGAACAATAACAAGAATAGTAATAATAGTAATAAAGATATGAATAATACAATAGTAGTAAAAGTTATAGCAATTTTTAGAAGAAGAACTACTTGGAGTTTCCCGGACCACGCCCAAACCTAACCTTTTCCCCTGGGAGCCCCGAGCTTCTGAACCCCAAATTCATCTTTAAGCTGTGGATGTGGACCCATATTGGAGTTTCCGAAAATTAGGGGTACCTTATTGTGGAGTCCTTATAATAAGGATCCTGCTATTTAAGGTATTATATTAGGGTCCCCTATTTTCGGAAACTCCCATATACTGTATATCGGTTTCGAGTTTAGGGTTTATGTTTTTCGTTTTTTTAACATGATCCCAGGGTAAAAGGAAGGACCCTTACTAAGGACCCCTAGGTATATACCCTTAATATAGCCATTATATACCCATTATGCAGCCCATTATAGGGTAGGGGTCCCCATTAAGGGTCCCTCCTTTTGCCCTTTGATTTGAACCCCTAAACCCTAAACCCTAAGCCCCGTAGGCATCAAAGATGCGAAGGCTGGTTCCCAAACACGTAGGTGCCAGGCAACCAGAGGAGAAGCCTGAGAGTCATGTGGGTAATATAGGGTTTAGGGTTTAGGGTTTTAGGGTTTTAGGGTTTTGGGGTTTTAGGGTTTTAGGGTTTCAGGGTATTAGGGTTTCAGGGTTTAGGGTTTAGGGTTTTAGGGTTTAGGGTTTAGGGTTTTAGGGTTTAGGGTTTCAGGGTTTAGGGCTTTAGGGTTTTAGGGTTTTAGGGTTTTGGGGTTTTAGGGTTTTAGGTTTTTAGGGTTTTAGGGTTTCAGGGTTTCAGGGTTCAGGGTTTTAGGGTTTAGGGTTTAGGGGGTGCCTTTTTGGGTGCCCTAAATATTAGGTGCCGTATTCTAATAAGGACCCATTAAGAAGGGACCATAATTTTGACAACCACCCATGTGTAATACTGTGATCCTGTTCCTTACCCAAAGGGTCCAAGGTACCTTTATGGTAGAATGTAGGGTTCCTATATTAGGAATCACTATTAAGAGTTGGGGAGGTATCCCCCGTAACGGTACTTTGGACGCTTTGGGCTATAAGAGTTTCTCACCGTATGACTATATTATAATGTATTCTTCTACTCCAAAACCCGAGTCTACCTTTTAGGGCCACATATTACAATCAAGCCCTAAGACCCTGAACCTGCGTAAGCCCTACAAAACCTGTAGGCCCAAAACCACACAGTCCCCAAGCCGCATTCAGGCAGTAACCCGAGAATCCCTCTTCACGGTTTAGGTTAGGACCGGTTAGGAGCGCTTAAGGATAATAATACTAATAACAATAATAATAATAATAGTAATAATAATAATTATTATATAGAGCTCAGGGACCCGATGGCTGGATTCAACGGGTCAATTTGTGAAAGGTTGCTTGAGTCCTCAAGCACCATATGATCTCTGGTGCCATGAGAAAGCTTCGGCGCTGTCTGCGCGCTTTGGGTGTGATGTGGGAACCTGGCCAAGTACAACTGCTTCAAGGCTTAGCCCCAACTTCAAGGTCTTGCAGGGTGTCGAAGGAGTCTTGCAGGTCATCAAAATGCGCTCTGCAGCTATCTCCCGGGAGATGGTAGAAACTGCCAGTTGATAGTACATACATTAATACATTTCCTCAAGCTCTGAACTCTATATCATTAAACTCTTCACCCCGACCGAAGCTTTCCTAAACTACTGTTGATGATAGAAATCCAGCATTACCCATAATAAGAAGTATACCACAATTCCCATAGTTTAGGGTCCTTAAGGTAATGCAGGAATCATATCACCAACACTATAACCCTAAAGCCTAAATCCTAAACCCTTGAACCCTTAAACCCCTAAAGCCTAAATCCTAAACCCTGGAACCCTTAAACCCCTAAACCCTAAAGCCTAAACCCTAAACCCTTGAACCCTGAAAAACCCCTAAACCCTAAACCCTAAAGCCTAAACCATGGAACCCTTAAACCTTTAAAGCCTGAACCGCTGCCCCGAGCCAGGATAACCTAGTCGTCGTGCTGGACACATCAAAGACGCGCGAGGATGAAGCCATGCCGATTTCTTGGAGATTCCCGGGGCTTCCTTTCAGGGCTTCCTTAGGGTTTAGGGTTTAAGGGTTTATATAGGGGTTTAGCCATTTAGGGGTTTAAGGGTTCAAGGGTTAGGTTAAGGGGTTAAGGGGTTAGGGGTTTAGGGGTTTAGGGGTTTAAGGGTTTAGGGGTCAGGGGTTTAGGGCTTTAGGGGTTGGGGTCGTCCTTTGGTTCCCAGTACCTATGTCGTCCTTTGCTTTCCAGTAGCCACCACTTTAGGGAAAGACTCGGAAAGACCTTATGTGCTAGGAGTCCTGTAGGCCATGTCCTATGCTAATATGGGGCTTTAATAATTAGTTGAATTTGGGTGTATACTTAAGAATAACTATATTAAGGAACCCCCGGAATAGTATAGGTTATTATAAAGGGCCCTTTATTACTGTGTTGTGGGGTTTGGGTTTGCCGGCAGGGTCTGGGGTTTGGGTTGTCTACATCACCGAAGCCTTATGCAGCCCCTTACTTACAGAAGCCCTTGTGGAAGCATGCGTACCCAAGCCCTGAAACCACAAAGCCTTAAACCCTAAAGCTCCAACCCCCAAACCCCTCGAGCTCTAAACCCTAAAGCCCCAAAACCCAAACCCTAAAGCCCCAAACCCTAAACCCTCAACCCGAAGCCCCCAACCCCGAGCCCTCAACGTGGCCTGATTGCTTGCCTTGTAGGGAGGCTTGGGCAGCTTCGGGGTGCAATCGGAAATGCCTCAGGGTTTAGGATTCAGGTTTACCTGGACCCTAAGGAACCTAAATATTTAGGATTCCTCATCATGATTTCCGTATATGAGTCCTTGGAAAGGTATGTTATTAACATACCTTTTCAAGGACTCATATAAGGAAATCATGATGAGGAACCTTATTTTGGGATTAAGGTAGGGTTCAGCGTTAGGGTGGGGTTTAGCGTCTAGGGTCTACTTTAACCCACCAAAACCTTTTGTGTAGGGTCCCTATAAAACACACACACACATTAGGGTTTAGAACAAGAACTTTCAAAAAGTAGGACTTGGCAGGTTAAGCCCTAACCCTAAACCCCAAACCCTAAACCCTAAACCTCTAACCCTAAACCCTAAACCCCAGGCCCCTAAGGTAGAGTTTAACCCTAAAGCCCCAAAGTAGTTCTTTTCTGGGTTCATATCTAGAATCCTATAACGTAATCCTCAAAAGGAACTACTATGGGGCCTTTGGGTAACCCTAAACCCAAAAGCCCGTCTCGGAGGCTTGGGGTCATCCCAAACGAAGATTGCGTCCGGACCCGGTCCTAAGCTTCCAGGAGTTCTGTTCGGTTTTTCAGGTTTTGGGCTCGGGCTTTTGGGGTTTAGGGTTCAGGGTTTAGGGTTTCAGGTTTTGGGCTTTGGGGTTTAGGGTTCAGGTTTTAGGGTTCAGGTTTTGGGCTTGGGCTTTGGGGTTAGAGCTGTTGGGGTTTCTGGGTTTTACCGGATTTCCTTCAGGGTTCTGATGGTTTTTGGGGGTTTGGGTTTCTGGAGTATGGTCTTTGTTTTCTGTTCATTTGGGTTGCGGCCCCCCATCAGCACTCAGGATTTAGGGTTCGGGAGAAATTACCCTAAGGGTCCAAGTACCTAATCATACATTCTCTTAATTATTGAGCTACATAGCTACTATCCTAAACCCAAGTACCTAATTATTGGGTCCTTTGGACCCTTGGGGTTAGAGTGTTGCCCTTAGGAGCTCCAATAGGAACTCTTCAAGGTAGCCTTACCCAAAGGCCCCATAGTAGTTCCTTTTTGGGACTACAGTACAGGATTCTAAACATGAAAGCCAAAAAGGAACTGCTCTGGGGGAAATTGGGTGGAGGAAGTGTAGTGGTTTGCTTGCCCACATGAGTTTTTCGGACAGCACGGACCTTCCTTTGCCGCAATCATCCTAAACTGTCCTGTTCTTAGTGGGGAATGGGGGAATGGATTATGGAGACGATTATTGGGGCTTATATAGGAACTACTATAAGGATCCATTCCTATTCCCTACTCAGAACCAGACAGTATAACCGCAGTGAAGCTGAGGTCTTTCACAATGATCGGCCCCGATCGTAACACGCTGTGCTGCTGCTCAACTGTGGAGGTGGCCACGGGAAGGGTAGTCGGGGTAGCTGCGTTTGCAGTTACACTGGGAGGCAGCCCCTAAACCCTAAACCCCTAAAGCCCTAAACCCTAAACCCTAAACCCCTAAACCCTAAACCTTCAGCCGCTGTTTCAGCATGCTCTCATCCCATCAGGACGTGCGAATCTGGGGTTTGGGCGACGACAACTTCGGGAGTCTCCGCGCCCAGTTCATCGGGCTCAGGACAGTAGGGGTTTAGGCTTCCTTTACGGGTTCCTTTGAGGGATCTACAGGCGATCTATATGGGTTTAGGGGCTTAGGGTTCAGGGTTCCTTCAAGGGTTCCTTTAAGGGATCTTGAAGGGAACTATAGGGGTTTAGGGGCTTAGGGTTTAGGGGTTTAGGGTTTAGGGCTATGGGTTCCTTTAAGGGTTCCTTTGAGGGATCTACAGGCGATCTATATGGGTTTAGGGTTTAGGGTTCCTTTAAGGGTTCCTTTAAGGGATCTAGAAGGGAACTATAGGGGTTTAGGGTTTAGGGGCTTAGGGTTTAGGGGTTTAGGGTTTAGGGTTAAGGGTTCCTTTACGGGTTCCTTTAAGGGAGCTATTTGGGATCTATATGGGTTTAGGGGCTTAGGATTTAGGGTTCCTTTAAGGGTTCCTTTAAGGGATCTAGAAGGGAACTATAGGGGTTTAGGGTTTAGGGTTGAAGGTTCCGTCAAGGGGTCCTTTAAGGGATCCATAAGGGAACTATAGGGGTTTAGGGTTGGGACTGTATGTAGTTCGTCGAGGCTTCATGGGCCCTTGACAGGATTCCTTTCACAGGGGGGCCTACTAAACTTAGTATCTTTAAAGGGCTCCTTAAAGGGATCTATAGGGTTCCTTAAAAGGATCTATAGGGTTCCTTAAAGGGATCTAAAGAGTTTAGGGTTTCGGGTCTACTAAAAGCTCATGGGACTTAGTAACTGGGGTTTAATTAAGGTAACTATACTTATATGTACTTGTAACCCCAAGTAAGGTACTTGTAACCTTACTTACTAAGTCCCATGATCCTCCAAGTATAAGGATTACTATAAGGTCTGCTATGGGGGTTTAGTATAAGGGCCTTAATATGCTAGGATGCCCAGCAGTACTCTTATTCCTTTTATTGAAGATAGTCCTAGGTTCCTATAATGCTACCCAATACCAAAAAGGGAGCCCTTTTTAAGGGGTTCAAGGGTTTAGGGGTTTTGGGGTTTTGGGTCGGCTTCCTGCCTTTGTCACGGCTATGGAGATCGATAGGTCGTTGATGCGTCGTGCCTTGCCAAGGCATTGATGTTCGATATGGGAATTTCCGAAAATGGGGGAGGGGGGTACCCTTGTTTTGGGGTCCTTAACCGGTGGCGATGAGCAAACCCCAATCACGATCAACGGTAAGCCCGAAGCCACCTTTAACTCACTGACAGGAGTCACCAGCTGTTCCGCCTGCCTGTTTTCTTCGGGAGGTGATCTATGATGCACGGTGTAGGGCTTTGGAGTTTAGGGGTTTAAGGGTTTCGGTCTAGGACAAGAATAGGATTTAGGCTCCAGGGCTCCGGAGACAGTGTAGAGGGAATCCTTGACTTGAAAAGGCCGATAGCAGGATAGTTCTAGTAGATTCTAGAAGTAGATTATATATATATATATATATATATATATATATATGTATGTATGTATGTATGTATATGTATATAATGTAGCATGTTCTATTCTGTTCTATGCTATTCCATTCTACTGCGTTCTGTTGCAGTACGTTGATGCAACAGTTTGCCTTCATGGTACCGCATCAAGCACCCCTCTTTGGATCATGAAGGGGTCTTCGTAGGTTTTAGGCGCAGGTTGTAAGCTGTAAGGTTTGGTGCTGAATTAGGGGGATAAGAAGACACCCTGAGCTGCGGACCTCTTGTAAAGACTTGTTGGTAGTCCTCTGAACTAGGTTTATGTCACCCTGAACAGGACCCTAACTTGGGGAATTGCCCATGTGCAGTATTTTAGGGTGTACCCAGGCCCCCGGGAAGATCTGAAAAGTAGATCTCCTAATTTGGGACCCTAGCTACTAAAGGGCATTTTATAAGAACCTCTGTAAGGGACCTACTTTTTGGATCCTCCCAGAAGTCTGGGTATCTGGCCAGGCTCATGCGCGGCGGAGGCGACGATGAGGCTGGGTGAGTGCCCATGCTACTGCTTCGGTGCTCACCGGCTCACCATCCCAAAGTCCCAAAAACCTAAAGTTTACGGTTTAGGGTTTAGGGTTTACAGTTTACGGTCTAGGGTTTAGGGGTTCAGGGTTTAGGAGTCCCAAAACCTAAAGTTTGGGCAAGACGTTACCCCAAAAGTCCTTTTGCTATAAGGGGGGTCCTGTTTTGGATTATGAGGTGCCTTAGGTACGTTCTAGGTAAGGTTAACAGCTACGAGTGCCAAAACCGGGGTTGTCCCACTGGCCTCGAACCTAAACCCTATAGCCCTTAAGCCCTAAACCCTTAAGCGAATCAAGTCTCGTCTGCTCACTGAGCCTCCTGATCCCGAAAGCCTTGAGGCCTACACCCGAAGCCCCACATCCTACACCCTACTGTTCAGTAATACAGGGTTTAGAGTTTAGGGTTCAGGGTTTAGGATAATTACATATGCTACTGTGGGGGGGGGGGGGGTCCTTATTACAGTTACAGTATGATATATCCCAAAGCCCCATTCCAATTGCAGTAGAAGCCCAAAAATTGCAAATCCAATAGCCTCAATCCTTACATGGGGTTTACTAAGGCCCCTACATTATAGAACTCTACTACAGATCCCTTATGATAGACCCCTTAAAAGAACCCAGTTCCAACTTTATGGGGTTTACTGTATTAAGGCCTATAGCACGTTCATACCAAAGCCCGAAGCCCTGCTAAGCCGGGAAGCCAAATTGAAAAGCAACGACAGGATGTAACAACATACTTGGGGGTTCATGGGACTTAGTAAGTATAGCTACAAGTACCTTAACTGGGGGTATAACCAATCATAAGTATAGTTACCTTACGTATAGCCCTAGTTACTAAGTACCATGAACCTCTAAGTAAGCACCATAAACCCAACCCTGAACCTTAAACCTCTAAGCCAATGACAAGTAAGAACACAACATGGGCTGGAGGATTCGAAACCCTGCCCATAGGCCCCGTAGTAGTTTTTTTGGGGGGTTCGTATATAGAATCCTATAAGGTATTCCCAAAATGGAACGTACTACTTTGGGGCCCATGGGTAGACCCCAAGTCCGGAGGATTCTAAACCCAAACCCTCATCCCTAAACCTTAAACCCTAAACCCTAACCCATAAACCCTAGAGCACTTAAACCCCAAGTCCGCAGGATTTCGGCTTCGGCTATGTTGTCGAGACTTTCTACGACGAGCCGTCATCACAAGCCTTCCTCCTGGCAGGCCACAGTCAGTTCCGTTGTTTTTCTTGTTTTGGGGGTTCAGCGTTTTTAGGGGATTTTGGCATGTGTTGACGTGATTTCCTTTGCAAGCAAATCTTTACGGACTTTTTTTGCATTCTTGCTGCAGCATTATTTTTGGTATGCTGTTTTTGCAAGGGCTCTGTATTTCAGCGCAGGTTCTCCATGAGGGGCCCTTTGGAACAGGGTTTGGGGTTCGTTGCGGCCTGTTTTCTTGTAGGATTGTACTCTGTTGTTTGGTGGGTTCAGGGTTTAGGACAGGGCCGTTTTCGCTTGGAGGAACGCTGAATGTGGGTTTGATTTCGCAATAAGGGCGCCTTCGGGGTGTTGCCGCTTGAGGCTTTAGTCGTTTTGGGTTCGCGTCCTAAACAAGTTCGCTAGTCGTAGGCACTTTTGTTAGTTTGTTCGAGGGTTCATTTCTTTAAGTTTTCAACCCTTATACCCAAAACCCTTAACTAAATTAACCTTTGTGCAGGAAATCGTCACCAAGTTAATCTATCGCGCTTAGGTCCGGACGTCAGTGAAGTCGAAATCCGTACTTCCAGCAGGGGTTCGATCTATATCTTGTGGTAAATGCAGCTAGAAGAACTGTCATGAACATATTCCTTTGGACTTTACGGAGAGATACCCCAAGCTCAGAAAACCTAGTTGGAACCCTACAGCGGACGAAGTTTCATTACCGGTCTTACGTGAGGAAGAGGGCGGGCACGTATTTGTCGAAGTAGCGATGGTGACCCGACTTCGAAAGAAATGTCTGTGTAAAGGTACATAAGGGGGTTAGAACAATGCTGCTAAGGCAGGGGGTCTAGAGTTATTCCTTTGTGGAAGTGGGGGGTGTCAACAGGATGTGTTTGGCACGGCTTCTGCTCAGCCAGGTTGGTGATCAGGTACTGGCAGTCGCTAATTTCGAAGCGTTTCTGAAGATACACCTATGTATCCGGACCGAGGAATCTTTTGCACCGTGATGTAGGATGGTTGGTAGGGCATTTGTTATCTTTAATGCGATGTGTAGTGTTACCATGACTATTAATTACTATGTTGATGCTTATGATTATTACCCTAAGGCTCAAAATAGCCCAAGAGCCTTATATGGTATGGTCTTTGGGCCCGAAAGCCTTCACGCGCGAGCCCTTAGAGCCTAAGGGGTATAGTTTCTAATATTAACACGTATTGGACAAGGCTCGGACCAGGAGTAGTCTGACTATGGTTGTTATGATTGCCCTAGCTGCAATATGACCATTGCAAAAAAACGATTGCTTTCTCTCCTAAACCCTAAACTCTAAACATTTCTCCAAAGCCCTTCGGAAGGTCATTCTAAACCCTAAACTCTAAACAGTTCTCCAAAGCCTTTCGGAAGGTCGTTCTAAACCCTAAGCCTTAAACATTTCTCCAAAGCCCTTCGGAAGGAGCGGGAAACGCTGGTGATTTGCTCCTCTTCCGTGTCACGCTGGCGGAGGTGGCTGGGCTGCACCTTCAGACTCTGGCCTTGGTTATCCCTAAGGCTCCATATGCTCATCTAGTAGAAACTTAGGCCTTAAAGTACCTATATAGGGACCCCTTTCAGGCCTAAGTACCTGCTATATGGGTACATGGAGCCTTTGGGTATGGTTTAGGGTTTGCGGCCGCCGACCGAAAGCAGTGAGTGTAGTTGCAGCTATTGCGTGGGGGACTGACGTGGGGAATTGTGCCCCTTCTAGACCCAAAGGGTCGAAAGTACTGATACGGGCTTTGGAGTACCATACTTTAATATTTTTTCTTTAAGGAACCATTATGAAATAAAAGTTTATACTTTTTTTATCCCTGGTTACTTAAAAGCCCAGGTTATGGGGGATACTTCCCCAAATCATAATAGTAATTCCTAATATAGGAACCCTACATTCTAACATAAAGGTACTTTGGACCCTTTGGGAGAGCCTAGAATGGATAACCCTAGCAGCTTGACATCCAGGCTGCAGACTTGATTCCATAAGGCGTGCAGTTCGCTTTTTGCTCTAGTGTACGATAAACACATATGTCTCCGAAGTTGTAGCAGACCAAGGCGGCCATAAGATAATCTAATCCAAGCCACGAAGCCTAATGCGCAGCACTTGTCGTTCTGGTATATCAGCTGTGCGTTCATGCATAGCTATGTTTATGTGTATATATATATATATATATGTAGGTATGTGTGTGTGAGTGTGCGCTAGACATATAAATACATTTACATGTGTAGACATACATGCATACACACACACACACACACATATATATATATATATATATATATATATATATACATATGTATACAAGTATATGTATGTACACAGAAGAAGCACACATACACGAATCGTTATCCTCGAGATCCTGAAGCTCCAGGCTTAAGGCTCTACACCCCGAAAGCTATGAGCCAGGCCGCACCGGCGGCCGTGTTCACTGTTCCAGCGGGCAGTGGCATGCGAGGTGCGTTTTCAGTATCTAGTATTTAATGCGAAGAAGTAGCACGGTCATATTTACCGTACTTGTGTTCAAGATCATGGTCGTGACTGTGATTGCTTTGCGTGTTGGAACTAGGAGGATGAAATTAGTCTACAAAAAAGCGTGCATGCGTGTGTGTACCTGTCAGAATGGCACAGTCTGAAGCAAAATCACAACCATGCAACATTGTCAGACTGCGAGTCCTTATGTCACACTTTTTCACAAAAGGGCACTGCTATTGATCTTGCATTTGGCCTTGGGAGTGTAGGTGTCAGTGTTCAGGACCTCAGAAAGTTTTGGGAATCTGTTTAAGTCAGCAGAAGAACTTTTGCATGTATCCTTACCCCAAAACCGTCCCACTCACAGAAGTTGAACATTTTCTTCTAACTTTGCCCTTGAGGAGAAATCTCCGCTTTGTGCAAAGTGCCAACCTCTGGTCAGTACACCTGATCTCCTGTGTCCAAAACCCCTTACCTGGATTCTTCCACACCGAATACAGGGTTTGTATCACGTACAATACTATGCCTTCTGTCCCACATTTATGTTTGTAGTACAGCATGCATCTATTATCCCTTCAAGCCTGAGCTGCAACATGATAAGAGGCCACGAAGGCATCGTGCGCTCTGCGATATGCCTGCCGGGTGGTCGTGTCATCACTGCCGGGGAGGACGGCCACTACAGAGAAGCCTAAATAATTATCAAAACTATTCCTCAGCATTCCGGATATAGAGGATAATAGTAGAGAGAGGAATTCTACAATCAAGTAATCAGTATTCCCCGGCCCACAGGTTATCCCCCAACTCCGAGATGCAGAGTTTAGGAGTTTCGGGGTATTCCCCGAAACTCCATAGAGAACCCCCCCCCCGAAGCCCTGTGATGAGTAGACCCGCTTTCAAAGCCCCATCATATGCCAGAAAAAACCAAGCCATCGTTCCCAAACCGTAAGCCCCTAAGTCGTAATTTTCTGTGTAAGCCAAAGGTTAGTGATATAGCTGCCTGAGAACAGAAGTATGTTTTCCGAGTGTACCGCAGTATATTTACGGTGCAGAGCCGCTCCCCACACTTCTAGTCGAACTACGGCTGATGGACAAAAGACTGCATTACCCATAAGAAGGAATATACTGTAGTTCCCATAGTTTAGGGTCCTTGGGGTACTGCAGGATTTTGTCCATCAGCACTAGTTGCTCAGGCCTGCAAATCGGAGTGCAAAGTCCTTCAAGTGCGTAGTTCCCCAATACCCAACCTTTAAACTTGCTGGGTTCTTAGGTTTTAGGGGGAACCGGAAAGTTTGACCTTCTATGTCCGTGGCTTATTGGGGAAGTAAGACTGTGAGCCTCGAGAGTCAAAGTGTAAATGCAGAACCTTCAGGCAGTTCTCGCACTTCAGCGCGCGTGCACATTGCTACTGGTTTTCTGTTTCATGTTCAGGCCAAGCCCGCATGGTTTGCATCGTGTCTGACGGCTTTTAAGTAGGCTGTAGAGAGCAGCGAGTGGACCATTCGCTTGTTCAACGGTTCCCTCCCCCCGTACATAAATAATTTGCTGACTTGGTGTGTGTGAATAAAGGCCAGCAGACTTGTGCCTCTGCTTTTTGTTTTGTACGGCCACTTCAGGTTCAACAAGGCTCCACTCCACGCCCCACTTGCTCATCCCTTTGGTCTCATTTCCGATTTTTCGACGGCACGTTAGGATTCAGGGATTAATTTTCATAAGTTTCGCTCAGTGGTGGGCCCTCAGATTTGTGGTCTTCGCGAAGTGTCCAGGATCGTGATGGCTTGTGGAAGTTTATATTTTGTTATACTCCCATGTGGCTGCTTAGGACCGTTCGAGAATGACAGCCCTAAAGACGCTACTCTACTTATAGGGCTAGCAATACCACCGAACGTTCGGTGTGCTGGCCCCACAAGCGGTCGATATCGGCATATACTGTGACAGGTTTTCGAGTATGATGTTCGGAGTGCGCATGCACACCCCCCAATCTGATGCTATTCAAGATTCGTTAAACCCTGCAGAGGCACCGACAGCTGATGCAACATGCATTACTCTCTTGAGCTCGTCTGACCTAACCTACTTATCACAGTTCAAGCTGTTACATGACCATACTCTTGGATGTCTTGGGCAGCAACGCACGGTATGGGTTCTTCAAGCCTTAACCTTGCACCCTTCGCCCTCAGCCTCGAACGTGAACCCTAAACCCTAAACTTCAACCCTACTAAGCACTAAACGCTACACCCTAGACAGCCCTAAACCCTGCAGCAGCCCTAAACCCTAAACCCCACACCCCCGAATGAGGACGGTCGCATCTGTGTTTGGAGCGAATCCCCGGCCGGTGTGGGAGCAGGTCCGTGGTATTTGGGAGTTCAAGGCTTTTGATTAAGATTTTGGGTTTACGGCTCAATCAGGGTGCACGGCTTTCGGGGTGCGGAAGTTTAGGGATTTTAGTGTTTGGGTCGCGGGAGTATCAGATTCTAATCTGCAAGATAGGATACTTCACCCATATTGCCTACCCACCCAAGAATCTAATCTGTCGGATGAGAAGGAACTCTTCATTCATGTACTTCTATGACAGGCTGATCGAAAAGGATGTGTAAGCAGAAGAGATGGTACAGAACCCCCTGAGCAGATCCTGAATGATAGGTTCGTACAGGTATATATATATATATATACATATCCCCAAGGGTCCATGTACGCAAGCAGTATACACTTTGGCCCCAAAGCACCTATGTAGGGACTACTTTAAGGCTAGGATTCGCAAGGGGCCATACCCAAATAGTATACAGTATATACGTACATTGGCCTGAACGTAGTCACCATATAGGTACTTTGGAGCCAAAGTATATACTATTTGAGTACATGGACCCTTAGGGATTCTCAAAGGGTTGGATTTTATTGATCAGTGCTTGTATTAGGGCTTGGGGTCTAGGCTTTACTTAAGGTGTCCTGTCGCCCAAAAGTCCTACCATTTAATGAACCCAAGAATACAAACCATAATTAATAAGGAACCCTAAAAGGGTACAGTTCTTGTCGGCTACAGGTAGGGTTTAGGGTTGCCGTCATGATTCCCTTTTCGGGGGTTGGTTTATGGGTGTGTACCATAGTCCCAAAGGGTCCACGTACCCGAATAGTATGTACGTTAGCCTTAAAGTAGTCCCTATATAGGTACATTGGGCCCAACGTATATACTACTCGGGCACATGGACCCTAAGGGTCTCGTTGTACATGGTTTTATTTGGGATTTACAGTATGATGTTTACGGCTAGGGTCGAGGGTTTAGAGGGTGTTCAGTATGGGGTTACGTAACCCGTGCAATCTTAGGAAACCAACACCCTGAAAGACCGTCGAGAACCCCAAACCCTAAACCCTAACTTCAGCGACCGAGCCCTTGACAGGGGCTTCGGCACAGTTCCAACTCGAGCCCACAGCCGCTGCGCTTGGTGCAGTGGAGTACAGGGTTTAAGTGCTTAGGGAGGGGTTGAGGGCTTTCCGGTTTAGAGTTTATATGTTATTGTCAATGTCTCGTAGTATAGGCTTCTTCTTCTCAGGGTTTCCTCTAAGGGTCTTGGTGGAGTCTCAATGCCGGAAATGCTTTAGGGCTCCATAAGGGATCTCTCGGGGCTATGTTAGAATCAAACCCTTAGGGTCCATGTGCCCACATAGTATATACTTTGGGCCCGATGCACCTATATAGGGACTACTTAAAGGCTAGCGTATATACTATTTGGGTACATGGACCCTTAGGGAAACACATTGGACATACACTGGTGGGTTTGCAGGATTGCACGAACAAGCTTCCGCGGGGCTGCGCTTGCACAGTATTGAATTGTACAGTATGACAAGCTTTGGTTGCAACTTACCCTAGGGCCCCAAAGTAGTTCCTTTTTGGGATTACCTTATAGAATTCTAAATATGAACCCCAAAAAGGATCTACTTTGGGGCCTTTGGGTATGCAATAAAGTTTCCATAAAGCATGCCCAGAGATCCCAATACCCCTTAATTAAGGAATATACCTTAAATCACAATATCAGTGCCCCTCTAATTTAAGGTATATTCCTTAATTAAGGGGTATTGGGTTCTCTGGGTGTTTCTGGGGCACGCGGCCGATAGCATCGCCTAACTCCTGTAGCAAGCACTACTTTTCACGACCGAATTCATTGGACGATGCCAGAGATCCGCATATCGGCGTCTTGAAGGATGGCTACATCAGTACCCACAACATTTGACAAGTTTTAACGCCTACGTCTTGAAATTTAGACACGTCTCCTCAGAATTGTTCACCAGCGTGTACCCCTGCTGTGTCTACTAGTAGGGCTGTTTGGTTTGCCGAGAGTTGTTGGTTCCAGAATCTGAAACCTTCATGGCTTCGCTGTCTTAGTCAAATCTCTTGTTTGCCGATGGTAGTTAAAGTTGTTCGCTCTCTTCTTCAAAGTTTGGATTAGTGCTTGTCGTCATTGCTTTCCCGTCTCTGCTGCTTGTGCAGTGCTAGCTGCTGCAGTCGTTGGGGCAAGTTATCTGTCATTTGTGGAAAGGTGGGAGGGTTTGTCAGCAGAATACAAACCACCTTTTTGTAGTTATAGCATAATATACTCCGAAACCCTATTCTAATTATTAAGGCCCGTAGATTAAACTTGCTAGTCTCTTGCTACGAGACTGTGAAGCTTGCAAACTCTCAGCCTGACGGCCTCAAGACTTGCATCTCCTTGGAGTTAGGGGTTGGTTTGGGGTTTCTGTGCTCTTTAGTGTTTAGAGTTTAGGGTTTAGGGACCTAAGAATCCAAGGAGATACAAGGAGGGACCCTTAGTAGGGACCCCCCAGCTATCTAACCGTCATTTTGCCATTAACTGCCTACTGTGTAGGCAGGGATCCCCATGAAGGGACCCTCCTTTTGCCCTTTGAAAGAACTTGGTGCTAAACCTTAAACTCCGATATAGGCTTCCTTAGGACTCCTCTGTTCAGGTGACGCCTTGTCTGAGCAGTTGAATGCATCCTCCCTACTCCCTCTGAGCGGCATTTGAACCCCCAAATTTGCGTTGGTAATTATTTAGGCCCCTACAGTACTATACCCCTTGTGGATCCTACACTCTGTGAAGAAGCGGTGCCCAACGATTGTGAAGTGTAGCGTTTAGGACCAAATCGGCGTAGCTATAGGACCCTATCCTATTGCCCATTTGCTGGAGCTCTTAGGTCAGAACTTCAGGAATCGAGATGCTATTCAATCCATATCACCCCGACCTGGGCGTAAAAGATGCCAACCCTGCATGGTGCATCTTTACCGTGAGACTCCAGATCCCCCCCAGTACGTATTGTTCAATGGCCTTTAGAGACCCCGAAGCAGGTACTGTTTGTATACAAGGAGTCTCGCGTGCAATCACCCTAAACCCTAAACCCCACAGGGTCTATAGACCTTAAACCCCATCCCCTACCCTAATAACCTCAAATAACCTAGCTTTTTGAGGACTCATATAACCAAGTCATAATAGGGAACCCAAAGAATTTTAGGTTCCTTACTGTCCAGGTATACCCCAAACCAATCAGCCTTTCTCAAGTCTGGGATTGCTGGAGGCCTATGGCGCCGTGCGCCGCGGGGGACAGCGAGATGCTCCGTATTGACTTGACTTCTGCGCCGGGTGCTCAGAACTTTGGGGTTAAGGGTCCACTTGGGGGGTCGGGGGACTTAGTAAGTAGTTAGTAAGTAGACTTATAAGTACCCTAAAAGGGACCCTAATTGGGGTTATGGTACTTATAAGTCCCTAAAATAACCAGTTACTAAGTCCCCCGACCCTCCAAGCAGGGTTTAGGATCCGGTATTCCCCCAGATCCCTGAGCCCCTACTAAGCTCTGCCAGAATTGTAGCTTCGGTCATGGTGCTACTTTGTTGAGTTCCTGTGCTTGTGGACCCTTGTATAATGTCGCAGTCATGGTACTTGGAGGTTCATGGGACTTAGCAAGTATAGGTCTAAGTACATAAGTATAGTTACCTTATTTTATAAACCCAGTTACTATTATAAGTACCATGAACCTCTAAGTAGACCCTCAACCCTAAACCCTATAGATCCAATTTAAGGAACCCTATAGATCCCTTTAAGGAGCCCTTTAAGGAACCCTAGTTACTAAGTACCATGAACCTCTTGGAAGAGCTTGAACCCAAAACGCTTGACCAGAAAAGGCCCAAATCATACTCAGACCTTCCAGTCGATCTTAATTACTTAGATAGTGAACGGGGAACTTTGAACTTTTGGGCCTTATATATTAGCTCTGTGTTGGAAAGTTGGAACTTTTTAGCGCCCGGTTGTTGAAGAAGAGAGATTACCTGAACCCTAAGGATAGCTTTTTAGGGTTCCTGAATATGATGTCCTTATATACGTCCTTAAAAAGGTAGGTTATTCCGGGTTAAGGCTTAAGGTAAAGAATACACCTCAAATCATAGTAGGACCCCTAACATGATTTAGGGTATGTTCCTCAATTCCCTTATAGAACCTTTATAGGTCCCTAGAAGCACCCTTTAAGGAACACGTATGGGTATATTCCTGAATCAAAGGTTGTTGGAAGGTCTGGGTACCTGCCTACTGCCGCATACCCGTTGTGTCTACTTGGACTCCGGGCTTCAGGCATAATATAGGGGCTTAGTAATTAGAACAGGGTTTCGGGTTCCATTTGAATGGATCCCGAAAGGGTTCTGTAAAGGATCTATAAGCGGACTAGAATGTAGGGGCGTCAATAATTGGAATAAGGTTTTGGTACACAATATACTGTCACTATCATAAGGAGCCCTAAGGAATGAGATTGGTCATCATTTAGGCCCCTATATAGTAGCCCTTGTAGGCCCCTTTAAACATTGTATTTCTTAAGGCCCCTATAGTACAACCCCCAAAGTCTGGGGCTCGAGGTTTAGGCCCAAGCTTTCCTAAGCCAGGGCTTGTGGGTGTTTATGCGATTCCAGTCCCAAAGGGTCCTAGGTAAATAGTGATTCCTAACATAGAATCACTGTTTGTACTATGTAGGTACTTAGGATGCTGTGGGAGTCCTGGACCACTAGGCAAAACTTCCAAAATCAGCGAAAAGGGACGGGAGGAGGGCCAAGTTAGAGGGGCAAGAAGGTGAGGAAAGAAGAGTCCGGGAAGAACGTCTGACTGCTTCGACCAAAGCACAAGACAATTGTTGTCTGGAGTTTGGCTATCGTGTACCATATACGAGTATACTATATGGTTTACTATATACACATATAGACTACTATACCGAATATTCGCATACTAAATTGTAACAGTATGCTGTAGACGTACGTTATAGGGTATACCACATTCCAGCTTTCTTAGAGCTCCATGGTTCCTTGGTCTTGCCTCAAGAGTTACAGCCGAGGACGCGAGCAATACCACGATCAGGAGGCAACTGGATCTGCAATAGATGCCATGTGTTCCTTTTGTTCTGGTAGCTGCTGCACAGTCTTCCCAGGAAGGCATGTCGCAGTACATTGTTGTTCTGCATGTGAGCCCGTGACTTTGCGGCAATCTTGGAACATGTCTCTCTTTCGCAGCTGAGTGGCGCACAGGTCTGCCTAGCGCCCAGTCGGCCGCCTTAAGATCAAAATTACACCCTAAACCCTGAATCCTACACCCTAAACCCTGAATCCTATACCCTAAACACTCTAAACCCTAAAAAGTAAGATCAAGGTGGCCACAAGCAATGGCCCAGGTCCACCCCATAGAGAGGAGCAGCTCAGAGGCCTCACCTGCGTCTCGTCCTGCTGCTCCGCGACAGCCGAGTAAGGCTCCTGCAGCTCCTGACAACGCAGAGAGCTTCTTTGCTTAGATCCCCAATGCCCAACCTTTAAGCTTTTTGGGTTCTTATGGTTTAGTAGGAATCGGAAAGTTTAACCTTTTATTTCTGTGGCTTATTGGGGTAGGAAGTTTGTCATAGTTGGGTAACATTTTGCATGTTTATGGGTACTTAAACCCAATAAGGCATTAACAACCTTGGATTTTGACCCCTATCCCAACCATGAACTAGGCTTGCCGAAAGTTGCTGGGCAAGAGTCCGAGATTTTCGCGAGCTTGGGAGCGGCGCAACTGTGTTTACCAACAGTTCGCAACACTCTTCTAGCTTCCATCAGCACTTCAATTTTCATCTTCCTTGGCCTTATGGCATTCGGTTTTGCAGAACTTGGGCTACCTCTTCCTCGACCAGTTTGGCTGACACTGCTTTGCCGTTTTGCTGGCTGGATCTTTCTCTTTGTTGTGCCGATTCTCGTAGCTGGATCGTCCTTTGGGATCTTTCTTTAATGTACCCTACTATTTTGTAGAGAACCATTAGAGTAAATAATTTTCAAAGGGCTTAAAGGACAACTCAGGTAGTTCTAGCCAAAACGACCTACCATTTTGGGGTTCCTTATTATGATTTCTGTATATGGGTGGTTGTCAAAGTTATGGTTCCTTCTTGGGTACCCAATTAGGGTCCCTTTTAGGGTACTTATAAGTCTACTTACTAACTACTTACTAAGTCCCCCGACCCCTCAAGTAGGGTTTAGGGACCTTTATGGTAGAATGTAGGGTTCCTATATTAGGAGTTACTATTTTGATTTGGGGAAGGATCCCCCATAACAGTACTTTGGACCCTTTTGGAAAGGTACCCTACAACCCTAAAACCCTGAACCCCAAACCGGAGTTGCCGAAAATAGGGGACCCTAATATAATACCCTAAATAATAGGATCCTTCTTATAAGGACCCCAAAATAAGGTAGGTCTTTTCGGCTACAGGTCCTCGCTGTGCCGCTGATTCGCAACTTCATGCTCTGGGGCCAGGAGCCTGGCCACCATGTGTCGCAAGACACTCAGCCAGAAGTATGGGCCATTTAAAGGGTACGAATAGGGTATGTATATATATATATACATATGTACAAGGTATATTATAAGGTCTAAGGTTAGAAGTAAGACACTCAGCTAGGATGCCCAGTACTACGGTTGATGATATAAATCCTGCATTACCCCAAGGACCCTAAACTATGGGAATAATGGTCTGTTCCTTATTCTGGGTAATGCAGGATTTATATAATCAACCATACCCTTATTCCCTTTTTGTAGTCCTAGGTTCCTTACTTGGGGGGTCGGGGGACTTAGTAAGTAGTTAGAAAGTAGCCTTATAAGTACCCTAAAAGGGACCCTAGTTGGGGTTATGGTACTTAATAAGTCCCTAAAATAACCAGTTACTAAGTCCCCTAAACCCTAAACCCTTATAAAATCCCTATAGATCCCTTTAAAGGAACCCTAAAGGAACCCCCTTAGAGTTACTAAGTCCCCCGACCCTCCAAATATAAAGCTAACCCAATACCGCCTAGTCAGGAGACGCTCGGTCTGAGCTTAGAAGTATGGGCCTTTAGCCCTGGTACGGGATTTTAAAGGATACGAATAGGGTGTACATATATATATATGTATATATATATATATATATCCTAAGGCCCCAAAGTAGTTCCTTTTGGGTGTTCGTATTTAGAATCCTATGAGGTAATCCCCAAAAGGAACTACTTTGGGCCCTATGGGTATGTATGTATGTATATATATATATATATATATTCATGAGGTATGTGAGGATCCCAAGCTTAAGGACCCATGCTAGGAGCCCATGGTTTCATGCTCAGACTCAGGATGACTCGGGAAAGCTCTTCCTGGCTCTACTGCAGCAGGTGGGAGTTTCAGAAGATTAGGGGGTACCTTAATTTTGGGGTCCTTATAATAAGGATCCTACTATTTAGGGTACTATATTAGGGTCCCCTATTTTCTGAAACTCCCAGGTTGCCTGGGCGACAATCTACGCAATGCTGACGTGCATTCCATTCCACGAGGGGATGCCTCTTGGAATTTTCCCCGTCTTTGCATTGGGAAACATCTTGTCGATGCCATGCGGGTTTATTCTTGCTCGACTCCTTGGCCCACCTATCCTGTGCCTGGGTTCTTGTTAAGGAGTTTGATTCAAGTTACCATAATCAGGACCTATCGTACAAAATACGGTTACCGTATTATGGCAACTTCATTTAAAAAAGAACCCAGGTGCAAACGGTATGTCCGGTCAATTGGTCCTGCATGCATTTTCTTGCCTTTAGTGGGCTTTGGTCTCTTGGTATCTGGCTACATGGCGCTGAGACGTGCTGCTGGAGTCTCGGTTCTTGTTAAGAAATTTATCATGCCATAGGGTTTAGGGCTTAAGGTTTAGGGTCTAGGGCTTGATGGTTACTTAGAGTAAAATCCTCAACAAGAACGCAGGAGTATGGGCAGGTCTTTTAATGCCCCTGCTGCTGACAACGTACGAGTTTATCGGCACATTTGTGGCGACCTGGAGCTTCACGAGAAATTTTATCATGAGATACGACGTGCGCGAGAAGTATGCGGGCACGAACCAAGGCATCATGGTCTCCACATCCATTTGCACCATTCATGCCATGGCCGAAGGGGCACGCTTGACTCTGCTCTACATCGATACTTAGGGGTACTTAGAAATGCAGTTTTAATCTGTGGTTATTATTAGTCTTAAGAAACAGCCAAAATTATGATTATTGCTAGGGGTCTATAACCGTGGGCATCAAAATAGCCCAAAAGCCCTATATAATATTGTCTTTGGGCCCAAATTCCTTGATATATGAGTCCTTAGATGCCTAGGGTAAGTTCATCAAAAGGGAAAAGGAGGGACCCTTAATGGGGACCCCTAGCCTATAATGGGCTATATAATGGCTATATTAAGGGTCTATACCTAGGGGTCCTTGTTAAGGGTCCCTCCTTTTCCCCTTGGAGTCTAGGACCCAGAGTAGGCCCTTATTCCCTTTTTTAGGGGCTAGGTTCCCTTATAACCCCATTTAAACCAAAAAGGGCACCCTTTTTATTCCTAGGTTACTCTTAGGTCTTGGAGTTCAGTTTAGGATAACTTGCAGAACAAGAGCTTCGACATCCTCCTGCCCATCGTCAGCTCTGTTGTATGGAATGTCCTCATGCGCGCGGTCTTGTCATAGTTGGGTAACATTTTACATTAAGGGTTCCTTAAAGGGATCTATGAGAGTTGTATGAAGGTTTCGTAGTTGGGTAACATTTTAGATTTTTGTGGGTACCCAAACCCAATAAGGAATAGAAGTTATCATTTTTATACCATCCCAACCATGAGCTAGGTCGGGTGCATGGACCGCATTCTCTTCGTGGCGACACGTGGCTGGCTCCAGCCCAAAAACGCATCAAAGTTCTTGAGAGATGCAGGGTATTGCATGGGCTACCCGCGAATGGGAGCACTTGGCGCCTTGCTCTTGGCACGCCTTTGTCTTGTGAAATCAGTGGTTATAGGGGAGATGGAGCAATGGCTCTGGGTGTTCATTATCGGAGCAGAGCTGCTGGAAGATCTGGTCAGCTACTGGGTAGGGCTTTGGGAC